AGCATATTTCATGGAGAGGAAAAGTGACGGAGCCTGAAAATCTGCAAAGCAGATGGAAGGACTCTTCCTCCTTCAGCCGGAGTCCGGCGATCCCGATTTTCAGGTGCGCGGGACTTTTCAGCAATTCCTTTTGATCCGGCAGCCAGGAGAGGGAGCTCGGCATCCTAATCCCAGGCTCCACTGGCCGGAGAGCTCTGGAGACAATGCTGATGATTCTTTTGTTCGACAAATAAAAGAAGTGGCCCGCGAGGGAGCCGTTTTGGCAGCTGCTTTATGAGGGCTGCGGGGAATTGTGGAAAATCGATGTTTGCCAAAGGCGGAATGGACAGAATTGGTGGAAGAAAACAGAAGTAACTCTTGGGCTTCGGAGGGATTACTGCAGGCACAGGATCTTGGAAAAGTGGGGTGGCTTCAGCCCCAGCAGCAGGAGCACGGGGATCTGTGGGTACCAGGAGCAGTGGGAATTCTTGAGCTGGACTTGCGACATTGGACTTTGGCCACCAAAGCCAGAGGAAAGTCCTCTCGATAAAAATTCCCCTCCCAGAGCACCAAGGACTTGCAGGTCCCATCCACCTCATGGGGAGCAGTAGAATATTCAGGAATTTTTGTATTTTGGTGTTTAAGCAGGGGCTGTCACCAAGCTGTAGGTGTCACAGGGAGAACGCTCCAAGAATCACAATGGAAAGGGATTCCCAAATGTCCTGAACATCAGTGGAAAGAGACACTTTAAAAATGGATAATTATCCCATGCCAGCCTGCCAGCGAGACCAGGAATTCAGTAGGATTGGAAGGGAGACATTTATTAAAATATAAAGAGTCCCACACTCCTACCTCAAAACCTCCTGAGTTTAATGATGCAACTCCTCCAGTTCCGATGAGCAGTGGCACAATTCCTGGACTTCCTGAAAGTCCTGTTTCTTTCTTTCCTTTGGATGTTTAACACCCTGGGAAGAGCAGATTGTTCACCTGGCTTGGCCAGCCTGTGGATGGATGTAAAGATGTCACCTCAAGGACTTTGGAGATGCTCCTCAGTCACAGGATCCCAGAACCCCTGAGGTTGGAAAAGACCTCCAGGATCATCGAGTCCAAGCTGTGCCCAATGCCCACTTTGTCCCCAGCCCAGAGCTCTGAGTGCCGTGTCCAGGCATTCCTTGGACACCTCCAGGGATGGGCACTGCACCACTTCCCTGGAAATGTTCTTCTTCAAGACCCCAGAAACCACAACAGGCCAATTTCAATCCCTGTGTGCTGCTGGTGTCCCCTAATCCAGAGATGCCTGAGCACGAGGAGCTGCTGCTCTTGGTGATTCCCTTCATAGTGTCACTTTTTTCCTGTTGCTCCTGGAAAATACCATATGTGGGCATCTTTTCCCCCTGCTCAGTGTGACACCCCTGTCACATGAGCTGCAGCTGTAGGCACTGGGAAGGAAATGCTCCATGTTGGGAAATCTGGAAGAGTTCAATTCCTTGGCCATGGGATCATCCATGAGCCATCCCAGCCCCTGCCAGAGCTGCTGTAACCACTCAGTACCGACAGATCCATGCCTGGATCCACTGCCCAGTCTGGCTTTTGGAGACCCGAGGGATGGAGTTGAGACAGGAAGGCTGCAGCCTTTCCCTGTGTCCTTCCAAATCCTGTTTGGGTAAGGACAGTGCCTGCAGGGAAACTGGAATAGAATCATGGAATGATAGGATGGTTTGGGTTGGGAGGGACCTCAAAGCCCACCCAGTGCCACCCCTGCCATGGCAGGGACACCTCCCACTGTCCCAGGCTGCTCCCAGCCCCAGTGTCCAGCCTGGCTTTGGGCACTGCCAGGGATCCAGGGGCAGCCCCAGCTGCTCTGGGCACCTGTGCCAGGGCCTGCCCACCTTCACAGGGAACAATTTCCTTCTATCTTCCTATTGCTCACCTGACAGATGCATTCCCCCTTGGGCTAGAGTGAAGAAAGGTAATTTGGGGAGTGCCAGCTGGGCTATGGAGCCTCCTGAACAGCAGCTGCCACTGGAATATCCTCCTGGATTAGTGGCTGCTGGCACCCAACAGGCTGAAACCTGTGCCTGAGCTGCAGATCCCAGCTGGCTGCTGAAGCCACCTGACCATGGTGGGGACAGCAGTGCCCCTGTGCATGGCAGGGGATTGCACCAGGGCGTCTTTAAGGACCCTTCCAACCCAAACCAGGCTGGGATTCTCTGATAGCAAAATGTGCAGGTCTCAGTTCTGGAGACAGCTCTTGAGAGTCCTGTTACAGGTGGGGACTGGAAGAGTTTTGGGTCTGGTTTTGAGTGAGCCAAAGCCTCTGTTCTCTGAAAATGTCCTGTGCAGGGAGAGAACATTCCCCACTGACCTCCCAGCAGGAAAAGCCTGGGATGTCACTGTCCTGCTCTGTGCCTGGTGAACCCTCCCTGGCAAGGCTGGCGTTTCTCCACCAGTGCCTCAGTTTGTAATGCCCCTCCAGCCACTCCTTGGAGCATCCCCAGCTCTTCTCCAGCGCCTTTCTCTGCCCACATGGATCTCAGAGACACGAAAAATGATCTTTGAGTATCACCATCCCCTGCTGCCCCTTCTCAGGGAATCACAGAACAGCTGGGGTTGGAGGAACCTTAAACACCACCAAGCCCAACCATTCCCCCAGAGCTGCCAAGGCCACCACTGGCCCATGTCCCCAAGAGCCACGTGCACACGGCTTTGAGCACCCTCCAGGAATGATGATTCCCCCCTGTCCAGTTTGTCTCCTGGCTGGAGGGATGCCCTCCCTGCCCCGCTGCCCGTTCAAACAGACAATGAAGTGTTTCATGTTTTCTGGGACCATTCTCACATTGACTTTGAAATTTATTTCCCACAAACATTTGTCCTCAAAATCCAATCTCTCTGACGGCTGAAGAAAGCAACATAAAAGAAGCAGGGCATTTATTCATAATTGAAAGGGAAAGTCCCTGGCTCTGCTGACCAGAGGTGCCAATTAGAGCCTGCTGGATGTGGATGGAGGCACCTCCTCCCCTCCCCAGCTCACCCCAGACAGAGAGCAGCAGGTATTTGCTGTGCTGGGTCAAGATTGGACCTCCAAGCAGGAATTCCATGGCTCCAGCTCCCCTGTCCTGAAGCCAGCCAGGCCCCAGAACATTTAGAAACTGAAAGGCTGGATGAAAGCCTCAAACACCAAGACAGTTTGCAGGAATATCAACCAGACAAAAAAAAAAAAAAAAAAGAAACCTAAACCCCCAAAAACCCAATTGTACCGAAGCCATTGCTGGGCACAGAAAGCTCCAGATTTTGTAGCTTCCAGACAAAGCAGCAACCGTCAGAATCTGTGTTTCAAGTCTGACCTTCTGCTTTTATCTATATTTTAAACCCCACACAAGGTATACAAGGCGAATGTTGCTGTTACAGTCAGAAAAGCCTAAATAATGGATGAAGAACAGAGGCTGCACAGGGAGGAAGGAGGGGGGGGGAAGAAAAAGAAAAGAGAGAAAAAGAAAAAAGGAGGAAGAGAAAAGCTGGAGGAAAAAGGAAAAGGAAAAAAAAAAAAGGTAAGAGAGAAAGAAAGTCAAGAGCCCTCCAAAATGAGAAGGGGCTGACACCTCTGAGCTGAGCCTGGAAGTGGGAATGTGATCCCTTCCATGGGTGGGGTGGGAACTGGTCAGGGGCTGCTGCTGGAGCAGTTGCAATTTGCTGCTCTCAGCCCAACTCAAAATCGGGCAGTTTCTGCTCTGCCTCTGCCCATGATCCAAGCTCCTCTCCCAGAGGGAAATATCCTCAAGGGAAGGAGCCAGGAGAGGTCTGAAGCTGGATGTGGTGAGAGGAGGTGTTGGGCAGGGCTGTGCTGCCGTTGGAGCTGCCAAAATATTGCCAGGACTGGATCCTCCTGCACTGAGGCATGGGGTGAGGATGAGATTTATCCATGGAAGGTGTCGGGATGGAAACACTTGCTGGTGCTTTCTTATTTCCATGAACATTTATCCTGGAGGCAGCACTGTGATTTTGCAGCAGGGCTGGGAGCACCAAGGGCAGGCAACATCCATTGCCAGGATACCCCACAGCAGAGCTGAGAGCTCTGAAGGGCAGAGTTTCCACGGGTTAAATATTTGGAGGGGCTTGCAGGAGGCCTCCTCCTTCCCTGCCTCCATCCCTTCCTCCCAGCCCTGCAAGGAGCTGGCTCCAGGCAGCAGGGCTTGAGAGCCCTAAGAAGAGAATGAAGCCATCAAGGCTTGGCATGGAGGCAAACTGCATTTCATTCCCTGCAAACTGCATTTCATTGCCTGCCAAGTGCCCAGTCACTGCTGCTCAGCTCCCTCCTGCTGCCTCTCAGTGGGTTCTTGTGCTCCCTGTCCCTTTCCAGGTGTGCTGGGAGCAGGACACAGCTCCTGGGCAGATTCTCTCTCCTCCACACATCCCCCTTTGGAGAGATGCCCAGGAGCAGCTTTGCATTGGATCCTCTCTGCTGGTGACCCGATGTCCAAGGGCTGCCTGGCTCCCAGCCCATCCAGGAGGAGTGGGATGCACTGCAGGCTGTGCTCAGCCACCAGCCCCTGTGTGTCACAGGCCCCAGAAAAGGGCAGGCAAGAGGCTTCCTTTCCACCAGCTCCTTACAGGGTGACCTCCCCTCTCCCCCTGTCAGCCCCTGGCACTGTCCCAGGATGGTATCACTGCATCACTTTCATAAAATTTCATAATTTCATATAATTTCATAATTTAATTTCTCTTCTTTCATAAAATTCCCCAACAATTCGGGTGAGGAGGGACCTTAAAGCCCATCTCATTCCAGCTAGAACTGGGGGACAGAGTCCCCCATTCTGGGGACTTTTCCTCCAAACCAGGCTACTCCAAGCCCCATCCAGCCTGGCCTTGGACACTTCCAGGGGTCCAGGGGCAGCACAGCTGCTCTGGGCACTCTGTGCAGGTCCTCAGCACCCCCACAGGGAGGAATTTTTTCCATATATCTAATCCTAAATCTAATCCTTCCTTGTATCTACCCCCTGTCTGTTTAAAGCCTGAGGTCTCACTCTCGGATGACCCTGGCCATGCTTCCGGGGTTGTTATTCCCAGAAACTTTGGTGTTTGGCAGTTGAGTGCTCAGCTGTGTCAGACACTTGTACCAGTCACAAATGGCACAGCAAGAAGTGGGGAAGGTGGGCCTGGAGGCACAACTGTGGGGCAGGGACCCCAGCTCCATGGGCAAATCCATCTCCGCTCCCAATCCATGGCCTGAGTCTCCTGCAGATGTTCCCACCTCATCTTATGGTGTAGGGCCAAACTTTTCCCAGTCAGCATTTTCCTGGCAGTAGAAGGAGCAGGGGAACAGCAAGGTTGGCAAAAAATATAGGAGTGAAAGTTGTTCTGGAAGGTTTCACGCACCAGCCAGGGGAGGGAGATGTTCCCTCACTCGTGGGCAGCACAGAGCCAGGTCACTGTGATCCCTCAGTGACAAATGGTGGCAGGATGGGAAGAGGCAGCGTGGCCAAAGGGGAGACTCAGGAAAGGCTCCAAAGCCAGTCCAGCTCTGTCAGTCAGCTCCTCTAACAAGGCTTCAAAAGGAATCCAGGGCATCCCAAGATCCCTGCGTGTTCCTGCAGCCATCCCAGGAAAAGCAGTGTGGGAGGGGGGGTTCCTGCTTCACCAACCAGGTCCAGTTCTTCTGAACAGCAAGAGAGGACCCAAAGTGCTCTGTGATTGCAGCCCTGGGTCACCAGGACACCTCAGGGACGTCCCAGCATCAAGGGGTGACAGATGTGGGAGCTGTGGGAGCTGTGCTGTGGGAGCTGCCCCTGCAGTCCTTCACCCAAGGCTGGGGAGGCTCCAAGGCATGGCATGTTGGCAGGACTGTGAGACTGACCTGATGAAAGATGTTTCTTTAGAGCTGGGTTAGATTTGATGATCTGAAAGGTCTTTTCCAACCTAAATGATTTCAAGAATGAGGAAGAAAAGAGTCTGGGAGTGACCTGGCCTGTTAACAGATGAATTCAGTGATCCTAGAGGTGTCCACCTGGATGATCCTGTGATTCCATGACCTGCACAGCCTCTCCTGGGCTCTCTGCAGGCTCAGGGGGACTCCACAGAAGCTGCTTTGAAGTCACAGAGTCACGGAATGGTTTGGGTGGGAACTCAGAGCTCATCTTGCTCCAACCCCCTGCCATGGGCAGGGAAACTTCCACCAGCCCAAGTCTTCTTGGAAAACCCTTCACAGGGAATTTTCCTGCTGGAAACACGAAGCTGAGCCATTGGATTGATCTCCACACTCGCATGGCTCCGATAATCGCAGGCCATGGCAGAGGCCACAGCACCTGAGCTCTGATTGAACCTTTGCTCTCAGCGAGGCCTGAGGAGCAGCACCCTACAGAGGGAGCTTTCAGGTTCCCTTAATTTAACCAAAATATCCTGCAGCCCACTTAACAGCACATTATGAAATTTTCTCATGAATAATTAACTCTGAACTGCGATTGACATCATGAAGCATGTGGCTGGCTCGGGCAGTGCCTTCCAGCAGCCAGTGGCTCACAGGGGGATGCGCAGCCAGCACGGCAGAAATCAGCACTTCCCCAGCAAGAGCAGGGCCTGCTGCAGCTGCTGCAGGGCAGGGCAGGGCAGGCAGCTGCTCCCCAGTGCTCCTCCAGACAGGGAGGACAGGATGGCCAAGCCCGAGAGCAGGGTGTGTTCGGGGTGGCAGGAGGGCAGGGAGCTTTGGCCAGGGCTGGTACATCACAAGGAGAAGTTCAGAGCTGTGTCTGAGGCCTCCGGGCTGTCAGCGGGGTTGTTGTGATGGGGAAACAGCTCCTGGTGCAAGGAAAAGCTGCTTTTGTCAGCACTGCAGTCACTGACAGCTCCTGGCAGCCCGTGCTGGAAGGCGAGGCTGGAGGTCCCTGCCAGCCCCGGGATCAGTCCCTGCTCCCAGGGACGGCACAGCCCTGGGTGCTGCACTCCCATGGCAGGCACGGGCACTCCCAGAGGCTCCAATTTCGGCAGTGTCAGTCCTGCCTGCTGTGATTTTCTCAGCCTCCAGGTATCTGAGAACAAATCTTGACCCAAGGCTCAAAGTTTCCCAAGGGAAAGCTCCTCTTCAGGAGTCGGTCTCATGAACAGCCCGCCGGCTTTGCATCCCTCTCACAGAGCTGGGCTGCTCCAGGAGCCACAGGGAATCCCAGCACAGCCCCTCCAGCAGCCGGGCCACCAGCCCCTGGGGGACATGTCCCTGTCTGCCCACCTGCCTTCACACCCGAGGGGACACAGCCCCGGGGGAGCGAGCAGAGGGGCTGCCCTCCGCCACGAATTAGTCACGGCCAGAGAGGTGACCCCGTGTCCTGCTGGCTGTACCGCGCAGCTGTCGGCGGCTGGGAACAGTTGTGGAGCAGAAGATTCCCATGGTTTTGGCTGCAGAGTGAATCCAGAGCTGATCCACCCCCCACTCCCTCAGCCCCCTCCTTAAACTGTGTGTTTTAATAAAGACATCCAGGCAGCGCGCTCGGAAAGCTCGCTTAGATCTGAACTAAAGAGCACAGCCAGGATGGGAAAAAATCCATGCGAGAAGCCGGAGGAAGTCGGCATTGCGTGTGCTGAGCGAGGAGAGCGGGCAGGGCGGCGGGAGAGAGCCGGGCACGGCGATGGCAGCGCCCCGGGCAGCGCCATCCGGAGCCACCGCCCGTGCGGGAGGCAGCGCTGGGCGGCTCCGGGGGCGCCTCGGGGCTCCCGGGGAGCGGCTGCAGCCCGGGCTTCGCTCCCGGCTCCTCTGCCCGGGGTTCGTCCCGGCTCCTCTGCCCGGGCTTCGCTCCCGGCTCCTCTGCCCGGGGTTCGTCCCGGCTCCCCTGCCCGGGCTTCGCTCCCGGCTCCTCTGCCCGGGGTTCGTCCCGGCTCCTCTGCCCGGGGCCCGCTCCTGGTTCCTCTTCCCGGGCTTCGGTCCCAGCTCCTCTGCCCGGGGTTCGCTCCCGGTTCCTCTGCCCAGGGTTCGGTCCAGCTCCTCTGCCCGGGGCCCGCTCCTGGTTCCTCTGCCCAGGGTTCTGTCCTGGCTCCTCTGCCCAGGGTTCGGTTCCAGTTCCTCTGTCCGGGGGTTCTGTCCTGGTTCCTCTTCCCGGGGTTCAGTCCCGGTTCCTCTGTCCGGGGGTTCAGTTCCGGTTCCTCTGCCCAGGGTTCGGTCTTGGTCCGTCTGTCTGGGGGTTCTGTCCCGGTTCCTCTGCCCAGGGTTCTGTCCTGGCTCCTCTGCCCAGGGTTAGGTCCCGGTCCGTCTGTCCGGGGGTTCTGTCCTGGTTCCTCTGCCCGGGGTTCAGTCCCGGTTCCTCTGTCCGGGGGTTCTGTCCCGGTTCCTCTGCCCAGGGTTCTGTCCTGGCTCCTCTCCCCAGGGTTCGGTCCCGGTTCCTCTGCCCAGGGTTCTGTCCCAGTTTCTCTGCCCAGGGTTCTGTCCCAGTTCCTCTGCCCAGGGTTCTGTCCCAGTTCCTCTGCCCAGGGTTCGGTCCCGGTCCGTCTGCCCGAGCTGCTGCGGGCACTGGGCAAGCAGAGCGGGCCGGGCACACCCAGCACCATCAGGAGCAGCTCGGCCTGCAGGGCCCCTCTGGAGGAGCCATGGCCCTTCCCGCAGGAAGGAACCCCTGCAGGAGAGAGTCCCCCGTGCCAGGGCCGGGAGAGAGCGAAGGAGAAAAGGAGCCGTGCTCACCTGGCACACGCGGCCACATTCCCCCGTGGAATGGGCTGGTCGAGAGCCCGGGTACTGCAGGAGCTGGGCTGGACCAGGTGAGGAGTGAGAGGGTCCTTGAGCAGCTGGGTGGGACCAGATGTGAGGACAGACCGCCCAGACAGACAGACGGATAGAGCTGCCTGGGAAGGAGGAAGGAGGGAGGAGGGAAGAGCAGGAGAGATGGTGGAGGCCCTGGAGGGAGAAGGTGAAAGGGGAAGGTACAAGGGGGAACAGACTCACTCCTGGTGGGACTCAGGGTGAGGGAAGGGGCCTCCCAAAAATACTGACTGATTTGGGTGATGCCATGAGTGCAGCATTGCTGCCCAGAACCCCCACTGCCACCAGTGGCACCCTGACCCAGCCCTGCATCCATTTTAGTGGCTGAAAGGAGATGATGAATTTGTCCTTCCTAATCTGGGGGTCTGGAATGCTGATCTCCTTGGACATGGTGCAAATATTGATAAACAACGGGAAAATTCTGCCCTGAAGACCTCTCTTGGTGATGGGAGTTTTTTCAAAGCCTGGATAGATCACAGATCCAGTGTGGTGGATACTTCCCCGTGCTGTTGCAAGGCCAGCAGGTGTTTCCTCTGCTTTGCAGGAGAGGCAAACACAGCTCTGCTCCACCATTTATCCTAGAAATCCATCCTGGAGCTGGGGAGGGATGAGGCAGTGTTCCCTGAGCTCGAGGTGCCCTGGAACACCTCTGGAACAGCTCCCTGTGACTGCCAGGCAGCAGCTGGGAAGTGGCAGAGTGGTGGAGCAGGATTCCAGACACACACATGGGTTTTCCTTGTGTGAACCCAAACCCTTCCCGTGCCTGAGATAAATAAAACACAGTCCTTAGCTGACACTTTCACATCACTCAGAGAGCTCCAATTTTCCTACAGCTGCTGGAGGTGTTGGTGAGGTGCTGCGGATGAAATGGAGATTTTACCTCTGATCCCTCTATCTCCAGGATCCCAAAGTTCCTGGAATTGCCTGTGAGTTTCCCTGCTCTCTGATTTCCCCAAAGATTGAAGCCAAATTCTACAGCACTTCCTTAGGGTTTATGGCTAAAAAACAGTTCCTGCAGGGCTCTGGGAGGGCTGATGGGGCAGGAGGCTGTTCCTGTAGGTGAAGGATGGGGAGATAAAGGCCTCTGGAAAAGCACAAGATTAAATTTCTGGAAGTATTTCTTTAACACAGATGGAAAAAAAACTAAATTATTAAAAAACAACCGACAAAAAAAAAAAAAAGCCACCCCCCCACACACAAACAAACAAAAGCACAAAGTAAAAAAACCTCACAAATTTGTAAATTTATTAGGATCTCTCATTCCCCACTGCCACTGGGATGAGCAGGGAGCTCTAGTTTTGCACAGC